GGCGGTCGTTTTCAAAACTGGGGAGCGGTGGAGATCGCAAGGTCTGTAGCGCCGGCCTCTTTTGGCCAATCAGAAGGTCCGGGGGCACTGGGCCCCGCCCACGGCAGCCCTGGCCACCCCTGCCTGGCTCCGCCCCCACGTGGCGCAGACTCCGCCCTCGGCCCAGGCCCCACCCCCCTCTCGCTCGCCTGCGCCGCCTCCCCGGCCTCTGAGCTGGTCACTCCTGAAAGTCGCAGCAACCTGGGGTCCCGCACAGCTGCCTGTGCTCCAAGGCAGGCCTCTGATGAGGCTTCCTCTCTGCAGATAAAGAAGGAAATGAAGACACCACGTCTTCTTCGTCAAGGTCTGATTTAAGGATGGGCCTCTCTTCTGAGAGACGACCTTCTCTCCTTTCTCAGCGTTAAACGGCCCTTTCTGCGAGATCACTGTGCTGGTAAATGGTGTGGTCCGAGGCTGGGCGACGCGTGTCTGTAGAGGCCGGAGAGGGAATGTTTTCAGCCTCGCAGGGCGCGCGGGCCCTGTCAGGACCCCGGCTGCGGCGCAGCGGGAGTACGGTCCTGTGGCCTGCCCAGGAATGAGTCCGGCCGTGTGCCGTCGGAACGTCAGTGGCACAAAGAGCCGGCCGGCTGGAGGGGGCCAGCCCTGATCCAACAGATGGAGGTGCTGGCGACGTATTTTAAATGTTCCCTACTTGCAAAAATAAAACTGTAGCAGTGGTAGAGGTTGCTGGTCCCTGTGGTAGACATTGCTCGTGCTCATGAAAATTCTTGCCCCCTAGAAGTTAGGCATGGTTGAGTGACTTGCTTTGGGCAATGAGATGTGAACAGGAGTGACAGAGGGTTGTTTGGGGCGGGGGAGAGGGAGGGGAAGCCAGGACTCCTAACTGCGGGGTCGTGACTCACCGGGGCTTGCTGGGGAGGGGCACGCGTGTCTCTGGCCAATGGCGGAGGTGACTGCTGGAACGGAGGATTTCATTGTCGAATGTCAAGTTGAGATGCCTTCTAGACATCCCAAGGGGGATGTCAGAAAAGCAGTCGGAAACACGAGTGTGTTTTAGAAATTGTAAACTGGAGGCGGTGACCAAGAAAGAACGTGGCCACCAAGCACTCAGGGCCTCGCGTGGGTGGGCCCCCGGTGTGCTGGCGTTTTACCACGCCCTCCGCGGGGTCTGAGGCACTCCCACGTGCTGTCCCATGGCTCTGTGGGCCAGAAATCCAGACGGGCGGAGCTGTGCTCTGCTCAGGGCCTCAACAAGGCCAAGGCCAAGGCCAAGGCCAAGGCCAAGGCCAAGGGGTCGGCGGCCCGAGCTCTCATCTGGACCCTCTGGGGGAGAATCCTCTGGTGGAGTCATAACGGTTTTTGGCAGAAAACTGTTCCATGTGACTTGAAGACGGGGCTCCCCATTTCCTGGCTGGTTGTTGCCCGGGAGTCACTTTTAGCTTCTAGAGGCTGCTACCTTGCCGTCACCCGGCCTCCTCCGTCTTCAGAGCATCTGTGGCATGGGATTATTGTTTTCATGTTTCAGACCTGCCAACCGGCCCTTGTGCCTGCAGCCAGAGAACACTCTCCCCCTTTCAGGGCTCCTGTGATTATGTTGGGCCCCCTTGGATAACCCAGCTGATCTTCCTGGCTCCGGGTCACTCGCGCCATGACACATAATATCAGCACGGAGCGATTGCTCCTCGGGAGTCCCAGGCTCTGGGAGAAGGGCAGGGAGCCCAGGGGCGGGGCGGGTGGGGGTCCCAGGATCCTAGGCCCGGCACACCCCGAGCGGGGGCGTGAGTGGGTTCTCTGGGCCCAGGGCGCCCGAGCAGCATTCCGTGGGTCTCGGGTGGGGCTGTTAGGGTCAGATGCCAAGAAGCAAGATTTATTTCCCAATTAAAGGGAGCTTCCTGCAGAGTAAATCCATCACCTGCGCACAACACTCAGACAGCAGTCGCTCACCCGCGGGCCCGATTTCTCGGGGGGACACGTCACTGCCTCCAGGCGCCCGGGGTGCCACGGCTGCAGCGTATCCACAGTCCTCATGTGCAGGTTGTCCCGTAGAGTCACCACCACCCATGCAGAAGGCCGATTATTAATGACAAGAGCATCTCCTGAAACCAAAGCCCAGTCGGGTCTCGTCCTAGGAGTGCAATCCCACTCAGCAAACGTAACCCTCAGAATCACCCTGGGCTCTGTCTTTTAAGTTTTAACAAATGGCCCCAGAAAGACTTTAAAGTGTAATTTTTTATCTGAGAGTATAGAGGGAGTTTCATTTATTCGGGCATGTTTGAAGGGGCACCCAGCTTTCTCTTGAGTAACAGCCAGCTCTGACTAAGCCATGGTAGGCGCCGAAGGAATGTCGTACCTTTCATCAAAAAGCCCGAGGACAGCCTGGCTTTTGGGAAGTGGAATGGTTGTCATTAACAGCAATAACGGCAATAAAAGTAATACCAGCCACTCTTGGCTAAATCCCTTGGCCGGGCCAGACAGCCTGTCAGACGCGTTATCACCACTGACTCATTTTATCATCACCCTGGGTACGAAGAGCCTGTTTCGCTGCCGCAAGGGGCGGAAGGCCCTTTGCATCCCAACTCCTGTCCTGTCTCACACCACCCTGTGAGGCCGAGTCTGTGCCTCCATCTCACGATGCGGACGCAGGCAGGGGTCGGAGGGGTCCAGACACCCGCCCAAGGCCACGCGGTCCGAAAGGGAGCGCCCGGATTTGAACGCGGGTCAGCCTGACGCAGCCCTCTTCTTCATCGGCCCCCGCCGCCGCCCCGATGCCGCACCTCTGCGCTGACCCAAGGGAAGCAGCTCCGGCCTTGCGGGACCTCTAAGGACAGTTTTTACATGGGAACGTGGGGTCAGAGGGATCGTGAATCATTTCTCCAGCTTTGTCCCCAAAACTTACAATGACAAATGTTTACCTACATTAAAAAAAAAAAAAAAATGGAGCCACTTTCAATGGAGCGGCAGCGGCCGACCCGGAGGAAACGCCTCGCGCGGCTCAGGCCTCGGCCTCTGCAACATTCCGTCAGCTAAGGAGTCTTTGGCCTGGGCTGGAAGCAGCATTGGGTCCTAAGAAGTGTTTGCAAAGGTAACGAGACAGCAGATACTGTGGCTCCTGGGCTGAAACTTGAAAGCATTGTTTAGAGTTAGCGTCCCTATGTTATCTTACCTGCACTCACAGTCGCAGTGCAGTGCGTCCCTGCCGGGGATGGAACTGTCCCCTCCCCTTCCTCATAAATACCCCTCGCCTTTGTCCCCTCATCAGAATCAGGTGGGTTTCTGCCTGAATCAGTGTGTCTGAAGGGCTGTTCTTATTGACCTCAAATAAATGCTGTTGCCTCTGACTTTGGAAAGCGCTTTTGCTTTTAGGTTACTCCCTGGAATTCTCGTTAGGGTGAGGGTTAGGGTTATTAATGGATTTAATTTTGTGGGGCTGGCTGCCCCAGACCTGGCCAGAAGGGTTATGCAATATACAGTAGACATGCTTTTTAAAATCTACAAAATTCTAACTTCTCAGACACATCTGGTCTCAGGCTTTGGACGGACCCTTGAGGCGCAGTGGCCGCTGGGACAGTTATCCTCGGGGGTGTTTGAGTGCGTAAGGCTTATATTTTCCCAAAGTTCTATTTGATCATCACACCATTTTTGGGAACTCAGCCTAGAAGTTTCTAACTTGTCCTGGGCTGAGATGGGCCCGTGACAGAACCCATCCTAGGTCTCCAGCCGGAGGACGTTTTGCACCTGGAGGTTCCCAGCTGTGGCGCATTCTGCCAACGCGGATGCAGGGGCACCAGCCTCATCCGGACCTTGGAAATGCTGTGGCACTTTACAGGGTGTGGCGACACCGGCGAGCCCATTTCAACACCCACACAGAAGTTGATTTCCATAGATGGAATGCTGAGTTTGAGGCCGTCCCGCGTAGCCGAATCTTCGAGCGTTGTCCACTTCCATTCTCCAGCGAGGCAGTTGACCGGACACTTCCGCTCTGTTATGAGCCCCCGAGTGGGGCCCAAATCACTGAGGTCAGACTGAGGCTGGGGGGCCTGTGAGGGTGGGGAGGATTCCCCCCACCCTGCCCACCCGGGGAGTAAGGAAGGCACCACCCGCTGCTGCTCAGAAACAGACGCGGCCCGCTCCACAGGCTGCCTGCGCGCTGGGCCGGTGCCTGCTCCTTAGGGACCAACTGGAGGGTCGGCAGGCTTGCTGGCTTTTCCTTCTGCCACTCTGACCAGCTGGACGCCGCACTCCCCACCTGCCACCATTTGTGGGACCTGGAGCAAGGCCTGAGGGCCAGGCAGAGACCAAGGGGTTAAGGTCAAGTGTCCAAGAGGGGAAGGAAAATGGCCTGCTCGGCCACTCGGCTGCTGGGTTGTGTGCGATGCGGGGTGGGCCGGGCAGGTAAGGAGGGGGGGTTCGTGCGGAGCCCCTGGGGAGCCGTCCCCTCCTGGAAATGTCCGCGCATTGGCAAACCTTGGGCTATTTCCACTTTTAGAGCTGTTGACATTGCAAATATCCTGGGGGAGGAGGGTCAAGAGGTCCTCCAAGTGCTTCAATTGTCCTGAAGAGCTGGCCCAGGGACCTTTGGGCGCAGAAACACCTGGTCCACAATCTCATCCTACACAGCGGTGACGAGAGGTGGGGCTGCAAGCGACATTAAAGGACCTAGACAAGTATTTTTTAAATTAAAGCACATTTTTTAAAACAGCCATACCTAGAAATTCCCAAGGTATCCTCTCTGCCCCCCCCGCCCCCAAATTCAGAGAATCAGTTTTGCCTTATTTATTACATTGGCCAAGAATGAGTGTTACAAGGATGTTCCAGAAGGGCGGTATTGATGGACTGAAAAGGTCCGGGGGCTACTTTGTGTTCTTTGTGCCATCCCATGAGCAAACGTGGAGGGGAACTGCGTCCTCAGAGGGGCCCCGGGGAGAGCACTCTTCCCCCGGCACGGGAGCCCGTCCTGGTGGTCTGCCCCGCGCTGCCTTGGACCCGAGGCCCGGCTGCGCTCAGTGGACGCCCTGCTCCGGCCAGCCGAGCTCCTTGGCGTACGCCCCTTTGCAGCTCCGGAGCTCCTCGTACTGCTGCAGACACTGGTTCAGGCCCGGCACCCCCGACCTCCAGCCGATGAAGCCCTGGGTCGTCTTCGGGACCGGGGGGGACGGGAGGACCTGGGATGGAGAGGCCGCGGGGTTGGTCACCGTGGGCCACAGCAGAGCCCCCGGGATGAGCAGGCGAGGCCGGGTGTGGAGAAGACAGAGGCAAAGCCCGTGTCCCTGCAAAAGGCACCCGTGTCCACCTTCTGGACCCTGAGACTCATGTCGTCCCTGAAAGGGACGCTCGCCAAACATTTCTTTGTCGCGCGTGATTCGTGACCTCCGGTGAAATCCGTTTTATTTGGCACAAGAGCAAAAATGGGGGGAAGTAAGGTGCAGAAATATCAAACACTGCCCTCCATAAAAGACACGACAACATTGCAGGTGGCCTTCTGGTGGTTACACCCCTGCTGGCTTTGAGGAGAAGACACCGTGATGTTGTACACGCGTGCACGCAGTCGTGTGTGCACACACTTACACGCACGCACACCGCCCCCTCCCCCCAAACTGCAGAGGCCACAGGAATAAAAAGCAACTGAACTTAATTAAATCCAAAAGGAAAGCAGGATTCTCTCGGGGAAAAAAAGAAAAAGAGCGCGCGCACACAATGTCATTTGTCAGTTCCTTGGACAGACTTGAAATTTTTGGAAAATGAGGGTAAATGTTTAGGCAGTTTCCCCCTCTCCGTGTGAAGTGATCGTCTGTTCTGCTCTTACAGGCTGATCTGAGTGGGGAGCACAGCGAGGAAGATTTGTTCTCACAGAAGAACTGAGATAAAGAGGTTTAATATGCTCGGGGTTATGAGTTCACGCTTGGCTGGAGGCATCCTGGCGCACGAGGCGGCAGGAGGGGGCGGGCCTGGGGGACCAGCGGCCACTGGGGGAGGAAGCTCCTTAACATATGTTCTTGGTGAAGTATTAAAATTAATCTCCCAAGAGGCTTCCTGTGGGGAGGGTCGTCAATAAACACCAGAGGCCCCGGAGTCTCCTGGAGCCAGCTACGTGTGGGATTGTCCCGGCTGGGCCCGTGGGGACTCACAGACCAGCTTTCCAGTCTCTCTCCAGCCTTTAAGAGAAATGCAATCAAAAACCACCCGGGGAGGCCACTTGTCACCCACCAGATTGGCAAAGAAATGAAACCAGCACCCTTTCCAAGGGCATTCTGGGAGAGCGGGCTGGTTCATTCTCTGTGGAGGGCAGTATTGCCATTACCTACAAAGAATGCAGGTTGCTGGCCCCCACTCCGGGTCGCCTTCATCCTGGGTGTTCACCCTGACTTCTCATCAGGACACAAACTGCTTTCTCCGTCGCTGAGGCCAGGATGGCAGGCCCATGAGAGTAGGTCCGGGAACCCACAGAGCTCAGCCATTTCTAGCCTCAGACCCGTCTCCCCCGCTGGTTGGTCTCAGGTGGGAGGGCCATCCGAGTCTTCTCCCCTCTGGGGCTGGCCTGTCACTCACTCAGCAGCCCACCTCAACCTGCCACCGCCCCGCTTTCCGTGGCAGATGGGGCTCAAACCCCAACCGCTTCCTCTGGCCCCCGTGGAATCTGGCCCTGCCCACGTCTCCATCCACACCCCCTCCCTTCCCTCATCTACCCCTCCCCAGCTCACCATGCTCCAGCCACGTCCCCCTCCCTTGCTGCTCCGGAAACATGGCAACCACTGCTCTGCCTCAGGGCTTCCGCATGGGCTGTTCCCTCTGCCAGGAATGCTCTTCCCTGGGCTGGCTCCCTGTCATTCTTCCATCCTCAGCTCCACAGGGGGCCTTTCCTGACTACCCCATCCTCTGTACCCTCCCACACCACCTGCCTATGTCCTCCATGGCATCTAGCACAGCCTAGAACAATTTTGTTGCTTTTCCTCTTTCATGGGGGTGCCCTCGACCCACACATGTGGGCTGGAGCCTTGCCGTCCTCACTGTTTGCCCAGCCACACAGCTGGCACCTGCGAACAGCTAGCAGTCGCACGCACTCCCTCCCGCTGGACCTCACAGTGCTCCCTGAAGCAGGTGCCTCCAGGGGACCCCTGTACAAGGTGGAAATAGAACCCCAGGGAGGCCCAGGCACTTGCCTGGGACCACAGGGAGCTGAGTCGCTGAGCCACGTGGCCGCAAGCCCTGGCTCAAGCACCCCTGCGTTCCCGCCGGCTCCCTGCATTTGCGGAAGAATGGATGGAGCCCCCTGTTTTCTTGTGCCCTCTCTGCTTCTGCAGAGCAGGATAGAGAGGCTCTTGAAAGCGGCAGGACAGTCACCGGATGCGTGGGCGCGGCCAGGGCGTGGAAAGTGGCCTCCCCCGCTGCCCAGGGCTGCTGAGTTCTCTCCTTGGGCGAGGGCCTTGCGTGCCTGCAACGCACACCCTTTCTGGGGGGCCCACCTCTCGCTTAGGAAAACAAATGACGAAACACGACTTTGCAGACCTTGATGTACTTCTCCACCGGGGTCAGCGGCCGGATGTGGAAGTTCTGAGGAAGCTCGATCCTGGGCTTTGGCGCGGGGGTCTTGTCTTCGTGCCCGATCAGCTGAAACACACCCCCCAGAGACGGGAAGGCCCGGGCTGAGGCGGTGCAAACGTCCTCTCCCCTCTTCGTGGGCCCCTGGGGCTCCGCATTCGACGATGACAAATCCTGTCCCCATCGCCGTTAGAAAGGGCAGCGGGGGCCTTGCAGCCCCCAACTGCTGCGCCTGCCTGCCATTCCCGCACCTGCTAATGTGTATTCCCGAGGGGTAATCTGAGAAAACTTTATGGCATGGACTCCAATTTAAAAATGCCAACCGGGTTCCGGGACCAGTCTTTAAAATATCAGAGAAGAGCCCCCATTCCCCCTTTCAAGGTTTAAAGCAATTTTGAATTCTTTGAAAATCCAATTTAATTACATATAAAGAATATTAATATCGACCCTTTTGTGCATATTATATTAATAAGGACTCATTTTATGCATACAATTTCAAATTGTACAATTCTCTAAGTATGAAGAAAGCACATTACGGATGGCACAATCTCAAAGCTAGTGGGGCCGGGCGAGTACCAATGGGGTCGGCGCTGCCTTGAATTGGGGCCGTTTTGAATTAGGTGGCTTTTATTTGGGACCCTCCGAGGACATGTGGCTGCCCTGCGTTTGTCCTGGAGGTGGCTTGAAAGGGCACAGACCGGGGCCGCTGTCTCACACGGCCCACACAAGCATTTCGGGGGCCTGAGGGGTGGTTTGTAAATCCGAGCCACTATTCCAGACTCAGGTTTTGTTTCAACATCTGGATTTCCGGGCTCGAACAGCTGGACCCGGCCGTTGGCCTCTCCGAACGGTAGCCGTCCCCTGGGCTGTTGGTGGCTGTGTCTGGATGGGGACAGTGGTTTCTTTGCTGGAGTCCCCACCCATTCCTGTTAGTTATTACGCCCGGCCCTTCTTCTGTGACCCGTCTTGTTGAGCACATACTGAGCTATTTTCCTAAGATCCCTCACACATCAACGCTGCCTCACCGCCTCCCTCAGACCCTCAGCCGTACAGAAAGGCGAGCGAGGACTCACGCCCGGTTTCACAGGCGGCCCGTCTGAGGCCTGGTGGCCCGGGGATCCAACAGCCCAGCTCCCTGCTCCATTCTTCCCGCCAGCAGCTGCATCACCTGGCGCTCCTGGAGGCTCAGTCTCCTAATTTGTAAAACGGGCGCAAAAGGGCGCCTGGCTGTGCACAGGGGCTGCCGTTTGGGTCACCTAAGCTGCTTCGGGCGAAGCCCCTCGGCCATCCCTGGCACGGAGTAAGCGCTCGGTAGATTCCGGAAAGGAGGCGAGCTTCAGGCTTCGAGGCGGCAGGCTTTGCGGACCACACGCTCTTTAATGTTCCTCTGGCAAAGTACACACACTCGGAAACGATCGATTCTGTAACCTCTGGTCTCGTAAAATTTATATTTACCTCCTCGACAGGGGTTGTTAAGAATCCCCAGTTCTGGGCCCAGTTTTGCCGTGCTTCGGTCTCAGCCTTCAGGCGGCATCTCCTGAAAAAGAAAGTTCCTGAAACATTCGTGCAGGTTAAAGTAGCGCACCCCGGAAGGCCTCCGGGGGAACCGTGCATTCGTCAGCGCAGAGTCACGGAGCGGCGGCTCTGTGTCGAGGGAGCGAGTCCCTGTGGCTGAGGACCTGGCACTGTTGTGAGGGGGGGCACATGTCAGGGAAACCAGAGAGGCTGGTTTGCTGGTGCCCGCGGAGCAGACAGGACAGGGGCTGACTGTGCCCCAGGGGCTGTCTAGGGACTTACGCCGAGGTCCCGTGCCCGTGGTGACCATCGTGCATTAAATACATCCTACAGACGTACATATCAGGTGCCTTCGTTTTCAGGGCAAGGATGAGGGTGGGGCGGGTGAGTGGGACACCTGGGCTGCGGAATCCAAGGAGGCACCCGCTCCCACGTTCCTGCAAGGGCAGAGCCACGCATACCTACCTGGCCTTGACCCCGAGCCCTCCTTCCAGCGGCCTCCCTTGCCCTGCCCTGCTTTTGCGTCACATTAATAAGCTGAGTTGAGTTGATATCACAGTGGGTGTGTCAGATTTTAATTCATTTTGATTTTCAAGTGTTTTCCCCCTATTTTGGGATCAATATCAGCCCCCCGGCTCCCCAGGGCGTCTCGGCATTTCTGGGAAGCCCTGGCCGAGCTCCCCGCCCCCCGAGCGGAAACTCCTCCCCCAGCGCAGTCTGTTCCCAGTGGGGTGGGACAAGCGCCAAACAGTAGAGCCATCCACGTCGTATAAAATGTTCTAGTAGCCACATTAAAACAAGTAAAAGTAAACAGGGGGGCCTAACGTTGACATCACTTCTTTTTGGGGGGTGGCATCCTCAAAATCTGGTATTTTGCAGTTACAGCTCATCCCAGCCTGGGAGAGGCCCACTTCGAGTGGACACTGGCCAGCGGTCTCAGGGTTTCCCTGGCCCTCCTCCCGCAGGAAGGGCCATCTGATTCGGGTCTTGAAGGTTGAGTAGGAGTTTATCTGGCAGAGAGGGGAGGAGAGGGCTTTCTAGGCAATGAAAGCAGACGCTGCCAGCCTATTGGGGGTACTTGTATAAAGATAAAGACTTAAAGACAACTAATAGTTGTGAATTTTATGCCAATTCATACTGGCTTTCCATTTCCAAGAGTGATATAAAGCTTCCATTAAAAGTAAATGTATTGAGTGAAACAAAGCTAGTTCAAAGAAAAATATTAAATGTCTTCTATAGGTTAGGAAACTATAGAAGTAAAAGACAGGATAGCTGAAGTTAAAGACGCAAACAATTACGGTTTGTTGTTACTAAAATTTACTTAGTGGTATCTGTGCTAGTAACTTCCCATCAGGGTGAAAACTTCAAAGAGACGGGGTAATGTTTAGCCGTGGTAGGGAACGCCAAATAAAAACAACCATGACACGTGGCTGCTGAACATAAATCTTACAGGAGATAGATCTCTTCTTTAAATTAAAATGGCTTATTACTTAAAAAGCCAGGACAAGCCAGGGAGAACGCAAAGTATACTGGTACCTCTCATGCAAACTGGGTAAATATTAACATTTTTGTTTAGTTTCTTTTTTTTTTTTTTAAGAAATTCGGTACATCAAAAATAAGAACACATCGTAGTCGCTCTCAAGCAAAGTGTTGCGCCTGTTTGCAGAGCCCGATGCAAAATCTTTCCGGCCTTTGCGGCGAGCCGACCGAAGGACGGAGAAGGCAGGCCCAGGAGTAGCGTTCCCCTCAGGGCCCTCTTTCCTCCCGCGACCATCTCCAGGCCTAGGTGGAGGCTGAGGCCGCCGGTGTGCACACTTCAGGTGGGAACGGCCCAGGCCACCGGGTCCCCGCGTCCCCGAGGTTACCAGATCTGGTCCTGGGCCACGAGGTTCATGCGCTCGGCCTCCGCGGTGCTCATTGGTTTCTTCGCCATGGCCCCTGCGGTCTTGGTTTCCCCACACGCAGCCGCCCTGGCTCAGCGTCTCGCCGTCGCCCAGGAGACCTGTTGCCAAGCAACGCAGGACGCGGAGGCGGCGCCGCACCTGGCGGGGGTGGGGCCGCTGGGCTCTCTCTGCAGCGGCGCGCCGACTGCCAGCCTCCGCACGCTCGGCGCCCTGAGCCCACGTGCCTGCCCACCTGGCGGGCTCCGGCTGCAGCGGCCCCGCCACCTCTCTCTTCTCTAGGGAAAGCGTTGGGGAAACATCAAGGGCTAACACCCTGCCTCCTTTAAAATGTAGACCTGTTGGGCAAGCATGCACACCGACGAGTGTGCCAAGCCCGTGCACCTTGCTGAGTGGCTGCTGCCGCTGAGAACGCAGCCCTGTAGCCACCGCCTGGATTTCGGAAGGGGGCATTGCAGCCCCCACCCGCGGGTCGAGCTCGCTCGGCAGCGCTTAGTCTCGCCACTTTGTGACCTTTGTGCCTGGCTTCCTAGGTCCAACATCATGTTTGAGGGGTTCACCCACATTGCCGTGTGTAGCCGTCCAGAGTTCATTTTCCAAAGAGCGTTCCCTTCCGCTGCTGCCGGCATTGGGGCTGCAGTTACGCATGCGGCCCTGTTGGCATCCACTCCTTGTAACAACCTCCAAACCACACTCACAGGTAGTATCTCCTCCAGACCCGGCCCCCCCACACTCTCTTTGACGCCCACCCACAACGATTCCTCATCACTGAGGTGCTTAATCAGTGTTTGTTGACTGACACGCTGACCCCTCCAGGCTTCCACCAGAGGGCGTGGTCACAGGCCTGGAACTGGGAAGAGTCTAGGACTCAACAGTAAGGGGATGAACGGCGGGGCAGGGGGAGCACTTTTTTGCCTTACCTGCCACGGAAGGGCTGGTGTCCTGGGCCTCGTGGGGCTGAGAGGACAGAGGCCGCGTGCTGCCACTGATTGGCAAGTCACCTCCCGATAATCTCCAGGGCCAGCCTGCAGGGAGGGGCATGCTTTTATCTCCCACTTGGGTGCCCGCGGCTCTCCCCGGCTCGCCTCCCTCCCTCCCCGGCTCGCCTCCCTCCCTCCCCATCTCTGACCTCCTCCCTTACCCACAGATGTGGGCCTTTATGGGGAGTCGGGGCGGGCGTTTGCCTCTCGTAACAATGTTCTCCACACGCAAGGTCCGTGTGATGTTCTTCTCGGCTGTTAGAAATGCCGGGTGGAGGCCCAAGACCGGGGAGGCCCCCGTGGCCCGCTCAGCCACCACAGGCAGCGGGCAGGCAGGGGCTGGGGCTGGGGCTCAGAGGGGTGCCGGTGGGTGTGCAGCAGGCCAGGCCCAGGGCTGAGCGGCCGGGGCTGGGCTGCCCCGGGGGTGTGCAGGGCCGCCTTCTCTCTGAGGTCGCCGTCCCTGCAACAGGAGGGAAACTGCTCCAGATGAACCGTGAGCAGCAGTGGCTCGGGAGAGAAGGAGATCCATCAAGCTGGAAGGCGGCGTCTGCTTCTCCCTCGGGAGGCTTCGGAGATGATTCTGTTCAAATGATTAATTAAGAATAAACTCGTTTACTGAATGTCTCTATAAGCCAGACACCAAGGGTTCATTCATTCTACAAATGTTTGCGGAGTGCCTCCTACGTGCCTGGGGATCCAGGAGGGAACAAGCCGCCGACAGACTCGCTGTCCTCCTGGGGCCGAGGCGTCTGCAGGGAACACAGACGAGGAAGCGCAAGAGGCAGGCCCGCCGAGGAGCAGGTTGCGCAGAGCTGCGCGCCGCGTAGGAAGTTACCCCGGAGGAGGCCGGTGGGCCGGTCAGGCGAAGGCCCGTGGAAAGGCCTGCTTTAGGAAAGGCCTCTCTGAGGAAGGAACGTTGAGCACAGAGCTAGAGAGGGAAGGGCCCGTGCAAAGGGCTTGGAAGGGGTTTCCAGGGAGGAGGGAGGGGCAGAGCGAGGATCCTGAAGCAGACCCAGCCCGGGTGTTTGGAGAACGCGAACGAGGCCAGTGCAGCTTTGAGCTCTTTCCTGCAACCTGCAGCCTCGGCAGACAGGGAAGAGCCAGCGCCAGGCCCCCGGCAGTTCAGCCGAGGAGGGACGGGGCTGTGGATGCGAAGGTGGGTGATGAAGCCGCCTGATACAGGTAATTATGGTGCTACGAAGGCGATGCAGGGCACGTCCCAGATGAGGCAGAAAAGAGCTGAAGTGGTGAGCGAGTTGGGCTTTGAAGGATGAATAAGAGTTTGCTAGCCCTGCACATGTGCCTCCGATATACCTGCACGGGCCACCCTGGGGGATGGGTTCCGGGGAGATGGGAAGAGCGTTACGGTTTAGTATGCAGCCTTTGGGATTAGATGTGGGTTCGCGCTGCGGCTCGGCTGAGGGCCCTCTCAGTGAGCTTGGGTGAGGTGCTGAGCCTATCTGAGCCCAGCATCCTCAGTGAGCTTGCAGGGATCCTAGGGACTGAGAAGAGCAAGGGCAAGGGGCTCCTCGAGGTGCCTGGACAGTTGGCGCTCACGGACAGGACAGCACCACCTGAGGAACGGCACGTTCGTTGGCCGCCCTGGGTCAGGGGCCTCCGCCCAGGCCCGTGTGGGGAGACGGAGAGGCGGCTGAGCGTGGGGCCGCGGTTGGCTCCTTGAGGATGCTGTTTTGAAGACGAGGCCCTGGCCGGCTGGTGCGCTGGCCTGGCAGGTGGAGTCCTTCTTCCGGGAGAAGCGACAGCAGACCCATAGCTACACTGGGGGTCCCTCTGCAGAGCCACCACCAGGCCCTGGCTGGGCGCATCCCTACATTCTCATGCCATCGAGGAGGAAGTCATTTGTGAGCATCTTCGCAGAAGGGAAAACAGGCGCTAACAATAGGGCAAGAGAGAGAATGTGAAGCAAGCCCCAAAGCCCCTGTCTCACCATCCACTCTGGGAACAGAGGGCGCTCTTTCTAGGAGCAGCCCCCCTCCCAGGAAGAGGGGGTCTACGCGTCCTGCTCTCCCTTTCTCTGTTGACCCCTGAGGACGTGTCCTTGCCCTCTGGATGTCCAGGTGGCGGGAGCTTGGCTGTGGGTGTCGCATGGAAGCAGCGAATGAGAACTGGGGGAGGGGCTCAGGCCTGGCCTTGCCAAGGTCATGTGTGCACAAGGGAAAGTTTCTGCTTCTAGTGACACCTGTGAGTGACATCAGGACCTTCAGGTGGCTGAGGGTGACAGAGGACCCAGATCACGGAGGGACCCCCAGGCGTCAGCCTCCCCAACCTCCCTGGAGACGCCCGCCTGACCGATGCACAGTGACGTGCGTCTCCCCACTGCGCTGAGAGCCGGGACTCGCCGTCCCGCCGGGGCTGGGCTGTCAGCCCCGAGTCGGCACAACCACCAGCAGCTCCCAGCAGTCACGTTGCCGGATCCAGCAACTCGAAATACCGGAGGTCCAGTTAAAGTTGAATTTCCCAGCACACACTTAGACTATCCTACATGAATGCTGAGAACTCACTTGTTGTTTACCCGTTAAATTTCACTGCGCACCCTGTCCATTACGTGACCACCTTCCCTCAGTAAGTTCTTCACTGGCGTGTGTCACCAAATTAATCCGTTTGTGTGTATATCGAAGTCTATTCATTTTTATTTCTAGTGGTCTGGTTTTTTTCCCTTTGATTTGTATATATCCTTTGCCTTCCCTCCTGGTTCCAGGGGTGGAAACCTTCTCCCTGTGATATTCGGAATCTAGAAATGCGTGAACCTCTGGCAGATGCAACTTCTTCACCTAGTACTTTTTATTCACTTTTTTTAGTTTTGAAAAAGCATTATTCAGCCTGGATTTCAAACAGGAAGAGCCGAGGGGACGTGAGTGCTGCCACGCTTGCCGATTGCATGTGGGAGATGAAGCCCTATTCATGGCTTGCAGAGGGTTCGCCATGTTCCTGGGTATTAATATATTTGGCCCTCTCTCAGCGTTCTGGGACATTTTTTCATTTTTTTTTCTTGTTGCTGTTCCTTTATAAAACATTTCGACGGCTGGAGCCAACTGCTTCTTTTTAGCTTTGAAGCTGAAACAGTTTCTCTTTATTCTATGACTTTTTTTTTTAAACCACAGCACGCTTTGTGCCCGAGCGCGCCGCCAGTGAGCGAGCCTTTTGCGCAGCGCGGGCGATTGTTACCGCGACTGCACAACAGAGGCGGGAGGCTGGAGCTCAAAGCGCCAGTTTCCGGGGCAGCATCAGATACCTTCCCTGAGCTTTGGCTCCAGAACTCAGAATTCTAGTCCTGCCACAGTCATTACGATGACTTTGGTAACAGCAAAAGAACTTTTTTTTTTTTTTTTTTTTTTTTTTTAACACCGCAGTAGTCTACATTGCAATACCTAAGGGACAATTAACTTCATTCTCCGGGTCTCACCGAAAAGGAAAGAGCCGAACCCCTCCCACAGTTCCCCAGCAGCCTCCCTTGGGAGTCTGTTCTCCATCTGGCCTCACGATCAATTACTGCCCCAAGTAGAGGCCGCCCACCAGGTTGGAGGCAGGGGCACCCGTCCGGCTCAGCCCCCTGCCTGTCCCCTTTCCTTTCCAGCCTCTCTCCTGCCAGCTCTTAGGGTGTCGGAAAAGCCCAACATGTGTGTGAAAAGAGAAGTAAGTTTGAATGCAAGCAACCTTGACTTCCAGGCATGAGTAGCGCTCGCCAGACTTGGGTATTTGAGGAGGTAAGTTCCCCCCAGAAGCACGGGGTGTCCTGGGCTTTCCCAGTCGGCATCTGCAGCGGAGTCCAGTGCTGAAGAGGGAGCCAGGTCAGAAATGCCGTGCCCTGATGCCAGAGGTGCCGCCGTGGAAGTGCTGGGGTGCAGCTTCATGTCACAAATATGGAACTTGAGGGGAATTTGAGCACGGTCATTACCTATTATTCCAGAGAGGTTTTCTTTACACGGGCTGCCTAGGGTTCCGTGGGGAAACTGGATCACAGGGCAGGAAGGTGAGGCGGGGCGGTTCTGCGTTCTGTTCCAACACACGACAACAGCCGTTCGCCGACTCACCCCTGCATCTCCAGGTTACCGGTCCCGCCCGCCACCTGCTGAGGCCTGAGGCAGGA